AAATGCTACACAGCAGTTATATTCTGACATTATAATTTTGTTTTCAATGAAAATGAAACACACCAGTTTAGTCAAGATAAAATTTTCAGACATGTAACATTTATGAAATGAGCGTGAATTGTACATCCTACTTAGATGACTCCAAAACCTTTTTGTTTCTTGTGCTTGTGTAAATTGGGAGGGATAAAGAGGTAGCATATGCTATGACTTTTTGGTCTGTTGTATGCATGTAATATTGCAGCCAGAGCGGGGTGCAAAGGCTCAGCTCCCTCCCCGTGCTCGCCAAAAATGTAACTGGGGGATAGGAGCAGAGCTGCAGGGGCGTCCCAAAGATGCTTCCAGTGCTCCCATCAGATGTTTTCCCTGATGTGCCCAGGTTCTTGACCTCTCTTGTCCCAAGAATGAGGGACCGGGCCTTGGAGGCTCGGTGAGCTTACTGTTTGAATAAATGTTGTGGACCCAAAGAGTTTTGCAAAGAGCAATTTATTAGGCAGAGAGAGAGAAAGAGAGAGGAGAGAGAGCTACCATGCTGCCGCTGTGGTTTCCAAGGGAGGAATCCGTATAGATAAGGGGCAGTGGGCTTTTAACCTTGGAGTTATTCCCGCCCCATTCATGTTCTTGTTCAATGACAGGAGTTCTTTCAAACTTCCACTGGAGTGACTGATCTTTGACTTCGATTCTGGATTGGCTGCTCCGTCCACAACGAGGCCACTTCTCCCAGAGCTTTACCAGGCTTTTTGAACAAAGGAGCACACCTGGATTTTCCACCTTTTCTGCACTGGGAAAGTCAGACAAAGAACTCTAGGTTTCTGGATGGAGCGTGGATGGAGGCAAGGCACTGGGAAATACCTGCCTTTGAAACCACACTTCTTGTAGACTCCGTTTTCCTAATACAGTACCTCAATATTTCCATGATTTTCCAAAGTTTCAATGTTTAGTCCTTATTTTGCCCTAGGGGTGTTTTTCTGTAGTAAATCCCTATTTTAAAAAATGTATTTGAATGCAAAATAACCATTAAGCTCCAAAAAGCTGAAAAATTTGCAAAAATATCACAGAAAGAAGAAAAGTAAGAATGAATATATTAAACTTCATTACATTTTTTCTATTCTTTTATCTTTTTTTCCTAATTTTTTCTTCAACTCAGCAGTACAGAGAGATACATTTCAAGTACAAATTTATTTCTTTGATATCTTAGTCCACTAAGGCTGCTATAACAAAATACCTTACACTGGGTAATGTATAAACAGCTGATATTTATTGTTCATATATTAGGAGACTAGGAAGTTCAAGATTGAGGCACCAGCAGACTAAATGTCTGATGAGCATTTATTCCTCATAAATGTCACTTTTTATGTCTTCACATGGTAAAAGGGTGAATAAGCTCCCTGAGGTACTAATCACATCTCCAAAGGAGGCCCCACTGCTTCATATCACCACATGAGGTATTAGATTTCAACATATGAATTTGGGGACCCCTATGGCTGCTCTCAAGTGTTGGAGTTGAGTGCCTGTGGAGTTTCTAGGCTCAAGATGCAAACTGCTCGTGCCTCTACCCTTTCCATGTCTGCAGGGCAGCAGCCCCACTCTCATAGCAGTGTTCCAACCCCATATTCCTCTTCAGCATTGTCCTAGTGGAGGTTCTTTGCAAAGGCTCTGCCCCTGTGGCTGGGCACCCAGGCCTTCTCATACATCTTCTGGAATCTAGGTGGAAGCTGCCAAGCTTCCTTTACTCTTGCATTCTGTGTGCCTGAAGGCTTCACACATCATGTGGAAGCCACCAGGGTTTATAGTTTGCACCCTCTAGAGCCATGGCCTGACTTGTATTTGGGGCCCTTTGGGCCACGGCTGTGGTTAGAGCTAAAGTAGCCAGGATCTGAGAAGCAGTATCCTGAGGCTGCATAGAGTAGCAAGCCCTGGAAATCACTTTTTCCTGCTGAGCCTCTGGGCTTGTGAGGAGAGGGACTTTAATCAAAGATCCCTGAAATGCCTTCAAGGCCTTTTGCTCATTGTCTTGCATATTAGCACTTGGCTCTCATTTAGTCATGCAAATCTCTCTAGCAAGTGGTTGCTCATAAACCCACTTGCATTTCCCTCCTGAAAAAAAAAAAGCTTTTTCTTCCTCTGCTACATAGCTAAAATGCAAATTTTCCAAACTTTTACACTCTTCTTTCCTTTTAAATATAAGTTCCAATTTAAAATTATTCCTTTGTTCCTGTATCTGATCATAGGCTGTTAGAACCATGTCTTGAATGATTTGCTGCTTAGAAATTTTTTTTTTTTAATTTTTTATTGGATTATAGGTTTTGGGGTACATGAGCAGAGCATGCAAGACAGTTGCGTAGGTACACGCATGGCAGTGTGCTTTGCTTTTCTTCTCCCCTTCACCCACATTTGGCATTTCTCCCCAGGCTATCCCTCCCCACCTCCCCCTCCCACTGGCCCTCCCCTTTTCCCCCCAATAGACCCCAGTGTTTAGTACTCCCCTTTCTGTGTCCATGTGTTCTCATTTTTCATCACCCACCTATGAGTGAGAATATGCGGTGTTTCATTTTCTGTTCTTGTGTCAGTTTGCTGAGGATGACGTTCTCCAGATTCATCCATGTCCCTACAAACGACACAAACTCATCATTTCTGATTGCTGCATAATATTCCATGGTGTATATGTGCCACATTTTTCCAATCCAGTCTATTATCAATGGGCATTTGGGTTGATTCCAGGTCTTTGCTATTGTAAACAGTGCTGCAATGAACATTCGTGTACATGTGTCCTTATAGTAGAACGATTTATAGTCTTTTGGATATATACCCAGTAATGGGATTGCTGGGTCAAATGGAATTTCTATTTCTAAGGCCTTGAGGAATCGCCACACTGTCTTCCACAATGGTTGAAATAATTTACACTCCCACCAACAGTGTAAAAGTGTTCCTTTTTCTCCACATCCTCTCCAGCATCTGTTGTCTCCAGATTTTTTAATGATCGCCATTCTAACTGGCGTGAGATGGTATCTCAATGTGGTTTTGATTTGCATCTCTCTGATGACCAGTGACGATGAGCCTTTTTTCCTATGATTGTTGGCCTCATATATGTCTTCTTTCGTAAAGTATCTGTTCATATCCTTTGCCCACTTTTGAATGGGCTTGTTTGTTTTTTTCCTGTAAATCCGTTTGAATTCTTTGTAAATTCTGGATATCAGCCCTTTGTCAGATGGGTAGACTGCGAAAATTTTTTCCCATTCTGTTGGTTGCCGATCCACTCTAGTGACTGTTTCTTTTGCCGTGCAGAAGCTGTGGAGTTTCATTAGGTCCCATTTGTCTATTTTGGCTTTTGTTGCCAATGCTTTTGGTGTTTTGTTCATGAAGTCCTTGCCTACTCCTATGTCCTGGATAGTTTTGCCTAGATTTCCTTCTAGGGTTTTTATGGTGCCAGGTCTTATGTTTAAGTCTTTAATCCATCTGGAGTTAATTTTAGTGTAAGGTGTCAGGAAGGGGTCCAGTTTCTGCTTTCTGCACATGGCTAGCCAGTTTTCCCAACACCATTTGTTAAACATGGAATCCTTGCCCCATTGCTTGTTTTTGTCAGGTTTATCAAAGATTGTATAGTTGTATGTATGTTGTGTTGCCTCCGGTGCCTCTGTTTTGTTCCATTGGTCTATATCTCTGTTTTGGTACCAGTACCATGCTGTTTTGATTACTGTAGCCTTGTAGTATAGTTTGAAATCCGGTAGTGTGATGCCCCCCGCTGTGTTCTTTTTGCTTAGAATTGACTTGGCTATGCGGGCTCTCTTTTGGTTCCATATGAAGTTCATGGTGGTTTTTTCCAGTTCTGTGAAGAAAGTCAATGGTAGCTTGATGGGGATAACGTTGATTCTGTAAATTACTTTGGGCAGTATAGCCATTTTCACGATATTAATTCTTCCTAACCATGAACATGGAATGTTTCTCCATCTGTTTGTGTCCTCTCTGATTTCGCTGAGCAGTGGTTTGTAGTTCAAAGCCAAAATAGACAAATGGGACCTAATCAAACTCCACAGCTTCTGCACGGCAAAAGAAACAGTCACTAGAGTGGATCCGCAACCAACAGAATGGGAAAAAATTTTTGCAGTTTACCCATCGTACAAGGGGCTGATATCCAGAATTTACAAAGAACTCAAACGGATTTACAGGAAAAAAACAAACAAGCCCATTCAAAAGTGGGCAAAGGATATGAACAGACACTTTACGAAAGAAGACATATATGAGGCCAACAGTCATATGAAAAAATGCTCATCGTCACTGGTCATCAGAGAGATGCAAATCAAAACCACATTGAGATACCATCTCACGCCAGTTAGAATGGCGATCATTAAAAAATCTGGAGACAATAGATGCTGGAGAGGATGTGGAGAAAAAGGAACACTTTTACACTGTTGGTGGGAGTGTAAATTATTTCAACCATTGTGGAAGACAGTGTGGCGATTCCTCAAGGCCTTAGAAATAGAAATTCCATTTGACCCAGCAATCCCATTACTGGGTATATATCCAAAAGACTATAAATCGTTCTACTATAAGGACACATGTACACGAATGTTCATTGCAGCACTGTTTACAATAGCAAAGACCTGGAATCAACCCAAATGCCCATTGATAATAGACTGGATTGGAAAAATGTGGCACATATACACCATGGAATATTATGCAGCAATCAGAAACGATGAGTTTGTGTCGTTTGTAGGGACATGGATGAATCTGGAGAACGTCATCCTCAGCAAACTGACACAAGAACAGAAAATGAAACACTGCACATTCTCACTCATAGGTGGGTGATGAAAAATGAGAACACATGGACACAGAAAGGGGAGTACTAAACACTGGGGTCTATTGGGGGGGAAAGGGGAGGGCCAGTGGGAGGGGGAGGTGGGGAGGGATAGCCTGGGGAGAAATGCCAAATGTGGGTGAAGGGGAGAAGAAAAGCAAAGCACACTGCCATGTGTGTACCTACGCAACTGTCTTGCATGCTCTGCTCATGTACCCCAAAACCTAAAATCCAATTAAAAAAAAAAAAAAAGAATTAACAATAAACAACCCTGAGAAATAAAAAAAAAAAAAAAAAGAATAATGGACAGTTAGACCATCGAAAGGCTCTGTAAGAAAACAGCCTCATTTGAGTCATGGCACCAAAAAATAAATTAAGTAAATAAATAAATAGAAAACAGAAAAAAAAAAAATCAAAGATCCCTGAAATGCCTTCAAGGCCTTTTGCTCATTGTCTTGCATATTAGCACTTGGCTCTCATTTAGTCATGCAAATCTCTCTAGCAAGTGGTTGCTCATAAACCCACTTGCATTTCCCTCCTGAAAAAAAAAAAGCTTTTTCTTCCTCTGCTACATAGCTAAAATGCAAATTTTCCAAACTTTTACACTCTTCTTTCCTTTTAAATATAAGTTCCAATTTTAAAGTATTCCTTTGTTCCTGTATCTGATCATAGGCTGTTAGAACCATGTCTTGAATGATTTGCTGCCTAGAAATTTATTCCATAAGGTCATCACTTTTACGTTCTACCTTCCACAAAGCCGTATGGAATGAACATTATTCCTCTAACTTCTTAGCTAGAGAGTAGCAAGAGTGACCTTAACTCTACTTCTGAATAAACTCTTTATTTCCATCTGAGATCTCATCAGCCTAGCATTCACTGTCCATATCTCTATCAGCATTTTGGTCCCAAACATTTAACCAGTCTCTAAGAAGTTCCAAACTTTCCCTCAACTTCCTGTCTTCCGAGCCCTCCAAGCTCTTCCAGCTTCTGCATATTATCCAGTTCCAAAGCTGATTCCACATTTTCAGCTATGTTTATAGCAATATCCCATTCCTTGGTACCAATTTTCTATGTTAGTCTGCAAGTGGTGCTCTAAAAGATTACCTAAGGCTGAATAATTTCTAAAGAAAAGAGGGTTATTTTGGCTTACTATTCTTCAGGCTGTACAAGAAGCATGGTGTGAGTATCGGCTCCTAGTGATGCCTCAGGAAGCTACAATCATGGCAGAAGGCAACAGAGAGCCAGTGTATCATATAGTAAGAGGAAGCAAGGGTGGAGGAGGTGCCATGGTCTCTTAAACAACCAGATCTTATGTGAACTAAGCAACAGCTTGCTTATGACTTAGCACCAGAGGATGATAAGTCATGAGGTACTGGCCCCATGATCAAATACTTCCCACCAGTCCCTACCACCAACACTGAAGGGCACATTTTAACATGACATCTGAAGGAGATGAACATCCAAACAATATCAAATAACCATAAAATTTATTATTTTAAAAATTCTTATAAATAAATTTGAGTACTCAAATCTGATTATAGAAATAAATTAAAGGAAAAATGCCATTCCAGATGGTGTTTAAACCCTACCTTTTGATTAAAACAGAACAAAAAGCAAGTACCAATTATTTTTACTACATCTCAGACAAAAAATCTTCTTAAACAGGTAGGAAATTTTTGTTTAATCATTTCTTTTGAAACTGGAGGAGGAAGATAATAAGATTCAATTGACTTTAATAAATGTTTTAAGTATGATGTTTTGCAAGCTTGTGATGACAGGCAGAGTGAGGTGGTACAATTTGAAGGTGATTACTTCAACTCAGCTTGAAGTCTTGTTTGTCTTATCAACGAAAGATTTTTTCAGGTTGTTTGATTTAACATCTTTATAATGACAAATATCTGATCCATAGATTGGTCATCTACCTATATACCTATTTTATATGCATTTGTTTGCTCAGGTATACTATGCAAGTATAATGATAAAATGAGAAAATAAAAATATGTTGAAGATAATAAGGAATATATATCAACATATGCCTAATTAGTTGCATTGATTGACCATTAAATTTAATTCTTGGCATTCTAACAAGATAACAAATGAACCATGATAGATTCTCTAATTGTCATTACCTGATGAAAAGCAATCTACTAATTCTTCAAGTGAGATTATTTTTTTCCTGGTTCAAAGTGATCCAGCCAATGTACTGATGTAATGGATAATGTATTACTAAGTAGAATGTTTGAGTTATATAATAATGGCTTATTGACAGAATATATCAACACAAAATTGATGTCACATCAAAGTGGGTTTGCTGCTAATTACTTACTATTATGAGATAAAAGTACAGGCATTTGATTTAAGAAAACTCATTTTGCAAGTGGATAGTTAAATAAAAGTAAATGTATTTACTTCAGTTTTTATTTAGAAATAAAACTGAAGATTTAATGTATAAAGTAACTTTCTTCAAGCAATCAATAATATTTATGACACCCACACATTAATAATTTTTTAATTTTCTGGGACTGTTTGCAATTTGTAATTACTCAACCTATCATGATGATATGAAATTCAATTCAATAAACATTCATGTAAAGCAGCATGATACTGATACAAAAACAGACACATATTTGAATGGAACAGGATAAAGAGCCCAGAAATAAAGTTGCGTACCTACAACTACCTGATCATCAACAAAGTCAACAACAATAAGCAATGCGGAAAGAACTCGCTGTTTAGGGAAAGGACTTCCTAAATAGGGCTGGGATAACTGACTAGCCATATGCAGAAGATTGAAACTGGACCCTTTCATTTCACCATATACAAACATTAAAACGTTAACTCAAGATGGATTAAAGACTTCAGTGGGAAATCTAAAACTACAAAAACCCTAGAAGAAAAGCTCTGAAATACCATTCTGGACATCAGCCTTGGCAAAGAATTTATGATTAAGTCCACGAATATAATTGCAACAAAAACAAACATTGACAAGTGCAACCTAATTAAACTAAAGAGCTTCTGCACAGCAAAAGAAACTATCAACAGAGTAAACAGCCAACCTACAGAATGGAAAAAAAATGTTCACAAACTATGCAACAGAAAAAGTTCTAATGTCTAGAATCTATAAAAACCTTTAACAATTCAACAAACAAAAGGGCAAATAACCCCAATAAAAATGGGCAAAGCATATAAACAGATATTTCTCAAAAGAAGACATGCATGCAGCCAACAAACATATGAAAATATGGTCATCATCACTAATAATTAGAGAAACGCAAATCAAAACCACAGTGTGATACGATCCCACACCAGTCAGAATGGCTCAGCATGGCTATATTAAAAAGTCAAAAAACAACAGCTGGGTTGTAGTGAAAAGGAATCACTTATACACTGCTGGTGGGAGTGTAAATTAGTTCCGTCACTATGGAAAGAAATTTGGAGATTTCATAAAGAATTGAAAACAGAACTGCCATTCAGCCCAGCAATCTCACTACTGAGTATATACCCAAAGGAAATTAAATTTTTTTACCAAAAGGCATGCAGTTGTGTGTTCACTGCAGAACTATTCACAATAGCAAAGACAGAGAATCAACCTAGAGGCCCATAAACCGTTGACTGGATAAAGAAAATGTTGTCCATGAAATCCTACAATAAAAAGGAAGGAAATCTTGTCTTTTGCAGCAACATAGATGCAGCTGTAAGCCATTGTTCTAAGAAAACTAACACAGGAACAGACAACCAAATACCACATGTTATCATCTACAAGTACTAATTAAACACTGAATACACACGAACACAAAGATGGGAATAGTTGACACTGGTAACTATTTGAGGGGGGAGAGTGGGAGGTGGGGACAAGTCGAAAAGCTACCAACCATTAACTATGCCCACAACCTGGATAAAGGGATCATTCATACACCAAACCTCAACAACACACAATTTACTTATGTAACAAGCCTTCACATGTAACCTCTGAACCTAAAATAGAAGTTGAAAGAAAAAAACAATCATTCAGGAATGAATACCTACATTTACCAGCTACTTTGCTGGGGTCTGAGGGTGTAAGAGTTTGGGCGCTATTCATTTTTCTCAAGTACGGAGCTAGCGTTGGGTTTCCCTCTGTGCGAAGACTCCCACTGCAGTGAATCTGTTGCTTCCAAAAGCAAAGTTTTAGTACTAAACTCACTGTGGCAGCACCCTGAGTGGAAATTTTAATGTGTCTTTTGTTTTGCAAAAATGTGTGAACACCTTCTAAGAGACTATGCTGCAGTGTATACGTCTTAGTCCATCCAGAATGCTTTAACAAAATACCATAATCAGAGTGAATTACGAATAACAGAAACCTATTTCTCAGTTCTGGAGACAAGAAAATTCAAGATCAAGGTGCCAGCAGATTCAGTGTCTGCTGAGGGTCTGCGTACTGATTGACAGCATCTTGACAGCATGCCCTCGTATGGTGAGAAAGGGCAGGGGATCTCCTGAGGTCTTTTTATAAGGTCAGCAATCCAATCCAAGAAGGCTCTGCTTTCATGACCTCAACACTTCCCAAAGATCCTACCTCCTATTACCCTTACCTTGAAGTTAGAATTCAAATTTACACATTTTGTAGAGGGCATAAGTATTCAGTTTGTAACAGTATGTTTCCAGTTCTTTTAATTTTATTTACAAGTAGGAAATATACTCATGAATATGCCAACTGACATTTCACATGTGACATTTACTACATACAGACTTCACATAGCTGTCCTCTTTCCTGAATGATTAAATTCATATTGTATTCAGGTGCACAGCCAGATATATCTGTCAATTCTCTCTCTCAAGAATTACTTGGTCTAAACTGGTTGTTTCAGTGTATCAGCATCAGTCATTCTTAATCCTCCCAAGATAACATTCAGAAGAATGAAATAAAAACAGAGTCTCTAATCCCTCTTTCTTTCATATCACTCTTTATGCAAGTAGGAAGATCAGCTTTGATAGTGGATTACTGGATGCCACATGTTCTCATTGGAACATCACAGATAGGATTTAGCATAAAATACATTTTCTAATGTGTAAACACCACCAGCTGAATCCATATTTCTCATGAATGTCCTGCCACATGGCTGTGTTTTTTTCTCATCATGCAGCCAGTTTTGTTATAATTCCCTTTTAGCACAGCTTCCAAGGACTTGCATCTGTCACTTGGAGCAGAGCATCATGAAGGTTCACCACTATCCTGGGCCACTGCAATGTAGTTGTATTGTTGCATTTACAGAGTTAGATGCCAGTAAAATATCTTTAAATGCCTTTAAGCTAGTTGGCTGCAACTTTCTTAGAGGCACTGCTATCAGCTCTTTTTGAGAGCTTACTCTAAGCCTCAAATTGACAGCTTGACCACATGAGTTTGTTAGAGGTAATGACCTGGTTCTCTGGGGTTGGATTTTGGCAGCTTTCCACCATTATAGCTGGGTGTAATCAAAATTGAATGGTAATCCCTAGTGATTCTCAAATTTCTCAAATTTGATGTATTTTGGCAACCCAAGGAAGATCTCTTGGATCCTCAAAGATTATCTGACTGAAGGCTAAAGAAGAACAGTTCACTTAGTATTACCATTTTAATATAATAATGTGAACTCAGATTCAAACATATCCAGATGTTTGCTGTACCAGTCCATCTAACCGGATGGATAACTTTGAGAGAGAGGCTTCCCATCATCTCAACTGAATTTAATTAAAATATTAAGTAAATATGAATTATCTTTATCCACCTATTTACTCATTAATACAAAAACATATAAAGTATGTGGATAAAATGTGAGTTGATGAGCCTTCATCTTTTAGGGATCATCATTGACTCAACTTTTGTCTGCCTTCAGTCAGAATGGCCTTACAATTACAAGCAACCATGGAGGTTCCAGTGCTTCATTTCAAAGCCAGACACTGTGTTAGCTATCTCATATGTGTTCAAAGATAAATCCAATGCACTCACTCTTCTTCAGAATTTCCTCCAGGAGAAGAGGAGACATGTCTATGAGGAGTAACAGCAATGGAATAATTCCTAAAACACAAAACATGAAAACAGGTCATTAGCATGCACGAACAAAATGTACTTCTGCCTTGATAGGACATAGAACATTCTTGAGGCAGGGGGTGATATGAGCTGAGTCATTCATTTATTCATTTCAATGTATGTATTATGAATGATATTTTTGTACCATGCATTTCCATTTTCTCTCATGTCCTTCCTTGAAGGATGAGGTTCATTTCTCTCCCCAGGGAAAGTAAGACTTCTGAAGCTCTTTGTACTATAGTCCCTTTCATCCCTTATCTGACCAAACACTTTCTCCAGCTAAGTTGTGTCGTCCAAGTAATTGGTCTACTATCTAGGAAAGGAGATTAGTGCAGGTAAGACACATGTGTTCCTACAGGGGGAGACCTGTACACTGTTTTTAAGGAAGGGTGTATGTCAGCCTTTACTGGGGAAGAGTGTGCTTCTTCTGCATGAACAGATGGTCTAGGGGAAGTCTGTAAATCAAGGTTGTCCTAGTGTATCAACCCAGATGTCTTCATTACATGACTAAGTTTGCATTTCTTAATCAGTGCCTTGACTTCACATAGGAGAACTGCCTTGGTCCTTCGTTGAGCTTTCTTTGAAGCTCTCATGTTTAATCATTAAGTTCTTTACTTGGTCTTCAGCTTTATCTGCTCTCTGGCTGTATTTAGGACTTGCTATGCTGATGGAAGCACTCTGGCTTTTAAATTTAATTTCTAATCACTGCTTAAGTAGTTTGGCTATCTTTCTTCAAAGCCTCAATTGCACTTAGCAACAGCCGCTTGCTTTCTGTATGCTTTATGTCAGTTGTTACCTCAGATTACTCATCATAGAGATAAACTGTACTTACTGCTGCATTCCTTTCAATAATACGCCAAATCATTTAACAGTGCTATCTTGTACAAGGTTCATTTTTGTTCAACTGACACAAGTTATGGAGGCCGAATGGTGAGCTAGCAGGTAATTAAGCTTCTGAGTTCTATATCTTCTTTCTCTGGCTAGTCATGGTGCCAGCTACTGCACTCTGGGGTCCCTGGGAAGCAAAATCTGAAAAGATTACCACGAAAGAATTCTACAGAGTCCTTGAAAACTTTAAAATAATAAAATGAGAATGACTGGACAGAAAGAAAAGCTAAACAGTGATGTGGTCCAAACAAAGGCCAAACCTACCAGGAGCTCTGAAGCTGTGATGGGCCTTCAGCCCTGCCTGCATTGTAATGAGAGAACTGGGATTTTATATTCCTGCATCTATCATCATTGAATGCAGGCTGTCACTTGGGTAAAGCGGCTGTCTTCAACATGGGGCATTTTTCAGAAAAGACTGTCATTTGAGGGCATTAAGCCAGTGACATTCTGAAAAGCTGAGAGCCTACATGTTTCAGTCCTAAAAAGGAGTATCTGTGGCACATCACAAAATCCACTCTGAAAATTCAGGTAGTTACTAGCCAGTAGTGCATACAGCTACTTTCAGTAAGACAAAATGATGGCATGCCAGAAGCTATGGCAGATGGCCATATGAGCCTCAGGCAATGGTCCAGGCTCCCTGTGGTTTTCAGGAAACTCAAAATTACTTGAATACTATGGACTGGGGCCATAAGCATTCTACACATGTTGGTAGGTCCAAAAAGGGCTGAGATCATTACAGAGATTGCTCAGTATTTAGCAGCAAGGAAATATCAGTGCAATTCCCTCTAACACTAACTACCTAGAATTAGTCGAAATTTCACAGGTCCTCCATGAGACCACCTGACTTCAGACACCAGCTGCATGCTCAGTGATCTCAGGGACATCCTCACTTCTAACCAACTGGCTACAAATATGAGGGTTCCTCTCAGGTTTGAAAATTCACTTGAATGGCTCATGGAACTCAGAAAAGTGCTATATTTATGATTACAGTTTCATTATAGGATGGAGGATGCAAAATCAAAACCTGTCAGAGAAAAAGCTCAAGGTGCTAAGTCTGGCTGAGTCTCAGACCCTAAGCTTCCAGTTATCCTCTTCTTGTGAAACCAGAAAGTGACACCCTCATGGCACATTAAAATGTAGTGATCCACAGAGCTCTGGCAATCACAGAAACTCTCCAAGTTAGGTGTTGAGTTTTTATTGAGGTTTCACTATGTAATTAATCATACACATGATTGACTGAGTCATTGGCCATGTCATTGAACTTGATCTCCTTCCCCCATAAACTCCTCAGAAGATCTGCAAGAAGAGAGTTAAAAACTCTTTGTTTGATAGCTTTGTTCAAGAGTTAAAAGCTGTGTTTGAAATACTAGCTTTGGTTCTAGGCACTATACTTAATTTATACAAATTGTTTAAGCCCTCTGGTTTAAAGACTCAACTGCGTGAATACAGCTACTATAAAATTTGAAGCATCATAGTGGCAGAATAAAGAGCAATGTGAAGAATTTTGTTAAGAGGAGTCCATTAACATAATAAAAATTTTATAAGTGCTAACTATGTAAGTCACTATACCACAAACCATAAACATTGTTTCTTGTCTTGAGACTTTCATATTCCTGAACACACATATGAAATTTAGCTTGGTTATGGCCTGCTAGAGAAAAGAATATGTGGGCATGGAAAAATCATCCATGAAATCCTAGATAGAATATTCAAGATGGCTGCAAATTGGAGAAAAAGCCAGTATATCAGTTCGTTGTGCCACTGCTATAAAGAAATACCTTAGACTGGGTACTCTATAAAGGAAAGCGATTTATTGACTCACGGTTTTGCAAGCTTAAAGGAAGCATGATATTGGCCATCTGCTCAGCATCTGGGGAGGTCTCAGGAAATTTACAATCATGGTGGAAGGCAAAGGGGAAGCAGGTCCATCTTATGTGGCTGGAGCAGGAGGAACAGAGAGAGGGGAGGTGCCACACACTTAACTAGATCTCACAAGAACCCACTCTATTGTCAAGACAATATCAAGGAGGATGGTGCTAAAGCATTCATTCATTAGAAACTGCACCCATGATTCAATCACCTCCTACCTGCCCCACATCCAGCACTGGGGATTGCATCTCACCATGAGATATGGGTGGACACACAGATCCAAATCATATCATATCACAATAGTGACTTGTAAACTATTTCAAGTCATGTAATGAGCAATTAGAAAAAAAAATAAGGGTTAAGAAAGGCATAAAGGTCCAGGGGCTTCCAATAGGATTGGCAGTCATACAAGGAGAGGACAAAAGAGATTTTTTTCTTTCTCTATTCTTTGAGGACACAGTAAGAAGGTGGTCATCTGCAAGCCAGAAACAAAGACCTCATCAGAAACCAAGGCTGCCAGTCCTCGAGCTTGACTTTCAAGCTTCCAGAACAATGGGAAAATACATGTCTGTTGTTTAAATCTCCCAGACTATGCTATTTTGTTATTGTAGCCTGAGAAGAGTAACATAGCATCTAAACCTCAGACACCCTATAAGCCAGACAAAAGGACTGGACTAGCTGTTAAAGATAAGTGGAGATCACTTTTCATTCATTATGACTTACTTTAGGAAAAGAAAACTGTAATATTGTCCTTTAGTATTTTCTAGAAATAATAGATGCATCTCATTTTCAGGGTGTGGTGCAAAGGAAATTTCAGTTACCATTCACTGAAACATCTTTCAAAACGTTTTCTTAATAAAAGTTTTAAAATAAAATTTAAAATAAAATCATGAGGACTGACAATCATTTTCTCTTCCATTTTTGATTCAAACATTTCTGTTTAATCAGTAATTCCTTATTCAAATATTTTACCTGGATAGTTTAATGGCTATCTGATCACTTGAAATGCAAATTATACAGTTTTTAATCTTTGAATAAGATTTCAAGGATCAAACAAACAGTAGTTCTTGCTTCAAGGCATAAACTATTTTGACAGATTTATACTGGAAAGTCTATACTAAATAAGAAAAATATTTAAATAATTCAGATAATAATGCAAGCTATTAACTCTTAGAAAACTCTAAGTCTAATGGTTTAAATGTGTTAGAGTTAGCTAAGAAAACACACCAGAAATCTGCTAAGTAGATAATTCTATTGTGCCAACACTTATTAGTTTAATGCATCTATTTAAGAAGACCCTGAAGCTTTATAAAAGACATTTCATTTTGCATACTGTAGCTAACTGCCATTATGCAACTATTAAGTGGCCATTTTACTCCATGCATTTTATCTGATAATCATGAGTTATAATATTAAGCAGACAGTTATAATTGAGTTTATTATATGGCCTTCTCAGTTTCTTTCCTGTCATAAGAATCAAGAGTAACCAAAAGCCATAGTTTGACGTTTATTGTAACTAAAAAGTTTGCTTTATACCCTTCATTTTTATTCTTATTTTAACATGTGAAAAAAACTTGAGCTATTTTTAGGTTTATGATATTTCTGCTGTCAGAAGCATGACAAAATATTTAATAGCATAGTCAATGAAAATTTTTCAGCCATTCTATCAAGAAGTAATTTGCTAATTAAAAAATCTTAATGCTCATAAGTTGGCATAGCTAAAAACAAAAGCCAAAACAATGTAAGATAATACCAAACACATAATACAAAATATTGAAGTTGTTTTTGTAATGTTACAAAGAATACAAAAATAAAATTTGTGATTTTACCATTGATAGTGTTAATATTAAGACTGAAGCTATGTAACATATGAATTTTAAGCGTGCTACTAAGTATTTTTCTTTGTATTCTCTACACTTACATGAAATTTTAAAAATTGAATATTTTAGGAATGTAAAATAAGAATAGGGAGAAATTGAGAGCAGTTCAGAGAAAAAAATAACATTTGTGAAAAAGTTCTTGATATCAATGGTATAAATTTAATTTTACATCTATTATTTTACTTAATGAGAGATAGACTGTCTCGAATCCAATCTCAGTATTTTCTGATACTAGATATTAGCCCTGTGTTATGTAGTTTGTCATCACTCAAGTGAAAAGAGTAGGGGAAGCTGCCCCATGAAGCTGCAGTGAAGGCGGGACAAGCATGAATATGTAAGGCAGCTAGCAAAACTCATGCACACTAGTATCAAATAAGCACTTGCTACTTCTCAATCGTCATGAACACAAGTGAGTTATAAATATAAAATATATATGAGTGGGATGCTGGGACTCTAACACATTGGCATTTAAATAAGATTCGATTCATGAATATAACCAGAAAAAACTTACTAGGAATATTTATTTTTCTGAAAGAGAAATGCAATTATGACATTTTATCATGTATGATTATGTATACATTTATATAAATATATAATTAGATATGACACACATACACACTTGTATATCTGAAGTATAGAAAGGTCTACAATAAACTATGAGAAATCAGACATTCCAATGAAACAGAACAAACAAAAGACCTATGGATAAAAAACTATTGAAAAACATTAGAATGAAAAATTTGAATAAGTGTCTAAATGAATCCCATTAGTATCATATAAAATCTACCTTTGTTCTTTGTGCAGTCACTACTGTGTATACACTTCCTAACTAAAATTAATGTCAGCCATAGCATAGCATCTTTTTAGTCTCTTTTACTATTTTGAAAGAGGTACTGCAGATTACAAATTACCTTGAGCCCAGGTAAATTAGACAGTTCTTATGTTTTGAAGCAACAGCTTGAAAACCACTATTAAATTAAACAACCAGTGTCTAATAGCACAAATCCTTAGGTTTGAGGGAGATTGGGAGCAATAACTTCAAATATAAATCTACTACCAGCACTGAAGAGGTACAGTAAACAAAGAACATCTATATCTGTTCATCAGTTATTGATGACCATTTGATGCCGATTTTATGAGCAATAAGCCAGAAACATGGGTTCATATGATTCTTTTATTACACTTATATTACCTCATATGTCAAAGTCCACAAAACCTAATCTACTTTTTTCACTTTTATGGAAGTTATGATGAAAAATATAATGATAGATTGGAGGCAGATAGATTATTATTTTATAACTGCTCCTTCATGCTTAAAATGCGTTGTTACTCATGTAGTTGAGGATTCCTTCAGGCTTTATTTCCTTTTGAATATTTACATGATTCTTCTTTTACACAAATTCTGAAAAGAATATATCATATCTGTATTTTTTTGTCAAGAACAGCTGTTATCTTACTTGCTTTACCTGTAATGAATACTTTGAATATTTTAGCCCTATATACATTTCCCTTTTCTCACCCTTCTTTTATGTAGACAAATGTGATTGACCATCATGAGAAATAGTATTAGGCTAATGACAGGTTATAGGAAGGGTTATGACTGTGTATAACAGCTTTTTTTTTTTTTTTTTTTGAGACTGAGTCTTGCTCTGTTGCTCAGGCTGGAGTGCAGTGGCACCATCTCAGCTCACTGCAACTTTCGTGATTCGCCTGCCTCAACCTGCAATTCCTAGTAGAATTACAGGCACGCACCACCACACTCAGCTAATTTTTCTATTCTTACTAGAGATGGGATTTCACCATGTTGGTCAGGCTGGTCTTGAACTCTTGACCTCGTGATCCCCCTGCCTCAGCCTCTCAAAGTGCTAGGATTACAGGCATGAGCCACCACATTCAGCCCAACAACTTTATAGCACCAGTCTTCATACCTCTTGAAACATTGCTCATTATCTGTTTCATATTTTGAGTGGAACTGTGTGTTAAAATATTGTATACCAAATCCAAAACTTAAAAAGCACTTAAATTATTTTTCAAACAAGCCAGGAAAACAGATGTAATAATAGAGAGGGTCCCTTCTGCCACACCAACTCTAAGTAATGGCGCTAATGCTGGAGATAATTAATATTAGTTGATTTATACTTTATATCTTTGAATAGCATATTTTTAAAAACATGATTTAGAATAAGTTGTAGCTGAATCTCTGAAACTTTATTTCTTTTGTAAAATGAGAAGTGTTGGTATGTACCTCAAAGGACTAGCAACATTGAAACTCACTTGGAGCTTCTGAAAAATGAAGAATCTTACGAGACGATTTGAAATAACAATGACAGAGGCCGTTTTTAAATTAGTTGTAGACACCAAATCCCATATTCAGAAAGCTCAGAGAACACTAAGCAAACAAATACCAAAATATGTACATCCCTAGGAATATATTCAAACTACAGAAAACCAAAGACAAAAGACAAAGAGAAAATGTTGAATGATGGCATATAGGGTAGGGGAACTTACCTATAGAAGAACCAGAATAATAATTACAATAGGCTTCTCATAAAAACAAATAAACAAGCAAAAAATCTATGCAAGCAAGGAGTAGCAGAGTGAAGTATTTGAAGGTTTGAAAGAAAAAAATAACCAGCCTGGGATGCTATATCCAAGTGAAACTATTCTTGCAGGGTAAGGAAGATACAGTTTCTCAAACAACAAAAAGTTTAAAAACATACTACCAATATGACTGCTTTATATAATTTATTAACAGAAGCTTAATAAAAATGATATAGAAACAAATACATGGATCAAAAATTTGGATCTACATAAAGAAAGGGGAATACCAGGAACAAATACAGTTGAAATATATTTTTTATTTCTCTTACTCTAAAATGATCTATAAGACAATTGTTTGTTAAAGTAATAATTCTAAAAATACATTGGGTGATTATGACATATGTATAAATTACATAAATAACACCAGTGTTATAAGGATGGGAGAAAGAAATTGAGTCTATTCTGTAATGAGGTACCTGTAGTAAGCATGAAGAACAATAGTGTCATTTGAAGGTAACTTCCATTAGTTGGAAATGTAAATTGCAAAGTAGGGCAATCACAAAACAAGAGCAAACCAAACACAAGAAAAAAATGTTTAAAGAAGTATAGATGATATGAGAGGAGAGAACGTGGAATCATATAAAATGTTACATTAAAACCAGAGAAGACGCAAAGAAGAATATCCAACCAAATCAGTAATCAAGTCATATCTTTAACTACAAATGATCTAAGCACACCAATTAAAAGAGATTGAGTGGATTTTAAAAATTAATATCCAACTGTATTTTGTCTATATTAAACTTACTTTTAATATAAAAACAGATATGTTATAAGTAAAAAAATGTGCAACTGATTTGATAATGGAAAGAAAAAAGTAAAAAATGGGGAGCAATATACTTTGCTAACACGAATGAAAAGAAAGCTGGGAATAGCTATATTGATTTCAGAGAAAGCAGACTTCAAGAAAAAATTCTCATGAGTTACATAATAATATTGAAATTACATAATGATAAAGGAGCACATTATTAAAGGAGATGTAGTAATTGTTAAAATGTACATACCTTACAACACATCTTCCAAATATGGGAGGTAAAAGATCCTAGAACTTTTGGGAGGCTAAAGTGGGTGGATCACTTGAGGTCAGGAATTTGAAACCAGCCTGGCCAATGTGGTGAAACTTCATCTCTAGTAAAAATACAAAAATTACAAAATACAGAAATTAGCTTGGTGTACTGATGCATGCCTGTAATCCCAGCTACTTGGAAGACTGAGGCAGGAGAATCCCTTGAACCCATGAGGTGGAGGTTGAAGTGAGCTGAGATTGCACCACTGCACTCCAGTCTGGGTGACAGAGTGAGACTCCATCTCTAAATAAATAAGTAAATAAATAAATAATAAATAAAGATAGATAGATAGAATTCAAAAAGGAAATAGAAAAATCTACTACTGTAGTATAAAATATCAGCATTCCTTTTTTTTCTCAAATTGAGACATAGTAATTATTGATATTTATAGGGTACATAGCAATATTTTGATACCTCTGATGTACAATGAGCATATCATGGTAATTAGCATATCCATTGTCTCAAACATGTGGTATTTCTCTGTGTGGGGAACATTCAATAGACTCCTTCTAGCTATTTGAAACTGTTTAATATATTATTGTTAACTATAGTCTTCCTATAGTGCTAGAGAACACTAGAATTTATTACATCTGTCAAGCTGTAATAGAGCATTCCTCTTTCAAATCTGCAGATTAGAAAGGCAGAAAATCAGGAAGGATATACTTTATGTGGCTTGATTTAATTGGCATTTATAGAGCATTCTATTCAACAACATCAGAATATACATTCTTCTCAGGTTCACTTGAAACATCATTAACAAACCATATTCTGGGCAAAAATACAGCATTACAAATGCAAAAGAGTGAACATGATGCAAGGTAAGTTCTCAAACAATAATGAAATCAAACTAAAAGAACAACAGAAAGATCGCTGTGATATAGAAATTCATTTGGAGATTAAAAGCATACCGTTAAATAGCACACAGGTTAATGAAATCCAAAGATAAATTATTCTGAACTAAATGAAAATGGAAGTGAAACTTCTCAAATGTGTGGGATAAATTTAAAGATTTCCTCTGAGGAACATTTATAACATTAAATGCACATATTAGAAAAGAAAAACATCTAAACTCAATATTCTAAGCTTCTACCTTAAGAAGTAAGGCCAAGTGGAGCATGCTACGCCTAAAACAAGCAGAAGAAAATGAATTTTAAAATTAGAGCCAAAAATCAATGATACTGAAAACAATAACCAATGAAACCAAATGCAGGTTTCACAATAAAACAGTAAACATCCTTCTAGGCTAACCAAGAATGAAGAGAGAAGATACAGATTACTCATACCATAAATAAAATAAGAATCATCACTAGGGATTCCAAGGACACCAAAAGGATAATAAAAAATACAATAGAAACCTGCCCACAAATTCAGTAACTTAGATAAAATAGACCGAGTCCTTGAAAGACACAATCCACCCAAACTCTTACAAGAATGAATCGATAATCTGAATAGACTTATGTTTTAGGATATGAAGAGACTTACGCTTTTGGGTGTTACTTTTCTGGCCAGAAAACTCTGTGCCCAGGGGTGCCTTAGCCCAAGTTTTGCTGGGGCCCATTGGGTTCACTCCACCCACTCAGCTTGGCAGGCTGTGCTTGGCTCATGTTATCAGCCGGGATTCCATGCTTGATAAGGGCGAGTCAAGTGAGGAGCAGTAGGTGGGGGGGTGTGAGCCAGTGTGGGGTCCTGCTGCTGTGCACAGACATGCTGGCTGCTACCATGGGTGGGCCAGTTCCAGCATGGGTGCCAGTTCTCTGTGAGGCCCTGGCTGGACCAGGTGTACCACAAGTAGCTTCCCCAGTTGGCACCGGGGAATGCAGTGGCACCTGAAAGCTTGGAAATTCCAGGAACCACAGGTCTCCCTCTTTGGAGAGCTGGGCTTGGGGAAGTCCCAGGTCTGGGGTCCCCAAAGGGCTGCAGCCCTTTTCTCTTTCTCTTCATCCACAATGTGGCGAGTAAGACATTCAGCCCTGTTTGGGTTACAGCTCTTTTGGCTTCACCATTTGGCAAGTCCCGAGTTCTTGTCCTGAGACCAGGAAGAATGAAGTACGCAGCCAAGTGGAGGGTAAGCAAGATGAAGTGGAGCTTTATTGAATAATAGGACAGCTCAGAGGAGACCCACAGTGGGTAGCTCCTTCCATAGTCAGGATGTTCTGAAGTGTTCAGCTCCTAGCAGACAGGAGGTCCTGGAGTGTGAAACCTCCCTCTGCAGGCAGGTCATCCCTGAGTGTTCAGCTTTCAGCAGAGAGGATAGCTCCTCTCTGCAGGCAGTCAGGTCATACTGTGGTCTCTTCAGCTCTCAGCAGAGGTTAAGTGCATGCTGACTGGTCCATGGGCAGCCATGAGTAGACCCAGATAAAAGCACCACTATGGGACCAATGGTCAGGACCTAGGCTGCAGATCCTCCACAGTTTGAAGGTGGGTCTTCACCAGGAACCAGCTCCCTTTTGCCCAGGAACCTGTTTGCCTCCTGCTACTGGTCATGGCATCTAGGCTATTACATGCCAAGGGGCTCCTGCAGGCCATTGCCGGGATGTCCTCAGCATCCCCTTCATCTTCCTCCAATGCTTATCTGCACCAAACGTCTGGAGAGGGCTGAGGTGGGAGTGGGCTGGTGTGTCAGCACTACCCCAGGTATGAGAACACAACCGAGTTGCAACAGTGCCTGGGCTCAGCCCCAACTTTTATCCAGGATCACAGCAGGCACTGAGAGCATGGAGAAGCCAGGCAGCGGGAGCAGGCACTTCCAATCATGTGGGGTAGAGGAAGGCGGCCTACCCATCCTGAGACCACAGCGGTGCCTGGATTCATAGCTGCAGCACAGTGGATGCAGTTGCCCCATGGGGAGCTCCTTCCCTACCAACTGAGAAGGAGTAGGGATTCCACTTATTTCCAGCTCCATCCATCTCCATAGAGTGTACAGTCCCAGTTGCACCTCATTGCAGCCAGGGGCAAGAGCTCCAGGTCCCCACTGGACCCTTCTTTTCCCCCTCCTCCATGCCTTACCACCCTGCTCTCCCTCCAGCAGGAGACTTTCCCAGCCCCATCATGTGGACTCTAGGGTGACAGGCTCCAGAGGGCTCCCAGGGTTGGGCTTCAGGAACTGTCCACCTTCCCCACGCCCTCCCAACACTGTCAGCAGGTGAAAGCAGTGACGTGAGACCAGGTCCAGAGCAGTGGAGATTTTAGGTCTGGGAGTGGGTCCTGCCTGGCTGTGAAAGGGTGGCAGGCAGCAGTCAGCTACCTTGGGGACACAGGGCACAGGGGATGTGGGGGGGCAAAGGGGCCCCACCACTGACACTGTTGCTCTTGCAGCCACTTCCACTGCCACCACCCATGTCCCCCGCTCCCTCGCCCCCCTCCACCCATTGCTGCAGCTAGCATGACAGCAGGAGCCATTCAGGACAGCCCACCACTGCCATCACTTACATCTATCAAAGAAATTGAATCAATAATCAATACAATTCTAAAGAAGAAAATGCCAGACACAGAGCATTTTACTGATGAAGTTCACCAAATATTTAAAGAAAAAAAGATACTAATATTACACAATCTTTTTCCAGAAACTACAAGCAGAGGGAATACTTTCTGATGCATTCTTCATGCCACACTGACAGGCTGGAAACTGTGTGATAATAATGTACCGTAATGGTGAAAGATGTTAATAATAGAGGAAACTGAGCGTGATTGTTTGGAAACTCTATACCATCATCTCATTTTTTTCTATAAATCTAAATATTCTAAAACTAAAATCAATTGAAAGTAATTGAATTTGATATTAATACCTCTTTGGGGGATAATATCTTTTTTGATATATAGTTTGTCTTCCTGTAGTGTATACTGAGATAGATTGACAAAAGTATCCTTGTCATTAACAAAGTCATTGTGGGTGAAATTATGTGGAAGTCTAAATACAGTGTCATAGCTGTTTTTAAAAGGTTATAAACTACCAATAAAAGGGCCTTGACAATAAATTGGTAAAATTTTACCTGAAATCTATGACACTTTATAGACATAAATATTCTAAATAGGTAAATAAATGCCAATAAAGGGTGGGGTTCTTCCAAGTATGGCAGGGTAGCTTGCATCCAATGAACCATCAGCTAAACTAATGTATGATGGCCCAAAGCCACTAGAAATTAGAAAGAAATTGAACCCTGAAAGTATGGAACAGTACTAGTAAAATTTATTTTTATACAGATTTTTGTCTGAGGCCATTACCCAAAATGTACGAAGTAGAACAAACAGAACTAAAGCAAAAAATGGCAGTATTTTTTTTTTCTGAAGAATCAGTAGGCAGAATTTAAGGCTTTTAGTTTTCTGAAAATGTTTCGCTACTCCCTGAAGTATCCATGTCTGAGGGCGTACCACAGAGCTGAATTAAAGGTACCATCTGGAAGAGTAGAAGACTAAAGGAAATTTTAGCTTCTGCTCACCTGAAAGAATGTATGTTTCATAAGATGAGTCCAGCTAAGTTAACTGTCTGCAACAACAACTACAAATTCTTCAGCTCTTTACTGAAAGAAAGCAGAATTCAAAATTTCTACAACATTTCATCTCAATGTTTAGTATAAAATAAAAATTAGTAAATGTAGAAAAAAACAAGGAAATGTTACCTATAGTTCAGAAAAAAATAGTTAATAGAAACCTATTATGCTATCACCTAGAATTATATTTAGCATAGAGATATTATAAATTTAAGTTCCAGGACTTAAGAGAAAAATGATAATAATAAATGAGGATGTGAGAAATCTCAGCAGAATTAAATAAAAATTCTAGAACAAAAGGTAAAATATCTAAAATAAAAAATTTACTTCATTGTCTTAGCAGCAAATTAGAGATGACAATAAATGGTTTATTAGTTGTAGATATATAGAAATTATCTGACCTTAAGAACAGACAGAAAATAATTTTTTTTCTTTTTGAGACAAAGTCTTGCTCTGTTGCCAGGTGCCAGGCTGAAGTGCAGTGGCGCAATCTCGGCTCACTGCAATCTCTGCCTTCTGGGTTCAAGCAATTCTCCTGCCTCAGCCTCCCGAGTAGCTGGGACTACAGGCTCGCACCACCATGACCAGCTAATTTTTGTATTTCTTTCGTAGAAACAGGGTTTCACCATGTTGGCCAGGATGGTCTAGATCTCTTGACCTCGTGATCCGCCCACCTCAGCCTCCCAAAGTACTGGGATTACAGGCATGAGCCACCATGCTTGGCTGAAAGAAAATGATTTTTAAAATCCAAACAGTGATTTATAAACAATATCTCATGGCTTAGTATAGAAGTAATTGAAGTTCCAAAGGGAAGGCTACAGAGAATAAAGCAGCAAAATGATTTGAAAAAATAATAATCTAATATTTTCCAAAGGCAGTGAATAAAGAAACTCAATAAATCCCCAAGTGTGGTAAATATAAACACAGCATACATGAGCACACACATTGTCACTTTATATTTGAATTGAACTCTAAATGTAAGGACAAATGTTTAAAGTGTCCTAAAAAGAATGAATGATACATTATTTACTAGGAAACAATATAATGAAAACAATGACTTATTGGCAATAATGGAGTCAAGAGGACAATGGATTGAGATCTTTACAGTTCTGAAGCAAAACTGACAAGTTACAATTTTGTACCCAGGAAATTAAATTTCAAATATTCAAGAAAAATTACTGTATTTACAGATAAGCAAAAGCAGAGAACGTGTTGTCGTTGGACCTGCGCTATAAGAAAGACAGTTCTTCAAGCTGAAGGACAGTAACACCAGATGGAACCTTAGAACTGCCAGAACAAATGAAGATCACTGGAAACAGTAAATATACTTCTAATTTTTATCTGATTTACATTAAAAAAACACATCTGTCTAAAACAACAAACTTATTTTCTATGTTTAATAATGTAAGTAGATGTAATATATATGACAAATACGGTATAAAAGATGAAGTAAATGTAAGCATAATACTATTTCATGTAAAGTTTCATAATATTAAATCTTAGTAGACTGTGATATATTAAGAGCACATATTTTAACTCCTGGAGTGATCACAAAATATAATGGAAAGAGACAGAGTGTTGATATGGTTTGGCTGTGTTCCCACCAAATCTTATCTTGAATTGTAACTCCTGTATTTCCTATGTGTTGTATAAGGGAACCAGTGGGAGGTAATTGAATCACGAGAGCAGATCTTTCCCTTATTGTTTTTGTGGTATTGAAGAAGTGTCATGAGATCTGATGGTTTTAAAAACAGGAGTTTCCTTGCACAAGATCTCCTCTCTTGTCAGCCGCCATGTGAGATATGCCTTTCACCTTCAACCATGATTGTGAGGCCTCCACAGCCATGTGGAATTGTGAATTCATTAAACCCCTTTTTTTTAATATAAATTACCCAATCACAGGTATGCCTTTATCAGTGGCATGAAAACAGACTAATACAAGCATATTGAGGCAAAGCCAGGATCTAAATAAAATTTGATTTAAAAATAAATTAACAAAAATATCTCAAACCTAATAAACATTATTTAAAAATTTTATACCCCAGCACTTATTAGTTATATCACTTTTTCAAATAACTTAACCATTTTGAGGAATAGTTTTATCAAATATAAAAAACAATCTTGAGGTTGCTCTTTAAAAGGTCATAAGATAACATTAAAAATACCAAATATAATCCCTGTGACTCAATAAACACACTAATTATCTCCAGTTTTCATCTTTATCCTAAAATAACTAGGAGGTGACTTCAATACAATAGCAGCAAAATATGTTTTTAACATCATCTGAATATATTAGAAAAATAATAGTAATGAAAGAAGTGTATGGGATTATGCATAGGTTAATGACTGACACATAAAAGAAAGCAAATATAAGGTTTTGTGATCATGTAATTTAAGTATGCTGAAAGCAATAAAAAGCTAATCAAAGGGCTGAGAGTTTTCTTAGCATAAATATCATATAGAGAGGAATATTGAAAAAGAAAGACAAGAGCAGTATGGAGATGCAAGAGCTGTTAATAGCACAGAAAATAGGAAACGACATCATCATCTCCAGGTGCAAAAGGAAAATGCAAAATCTTTTCACCTTCAGTCCTTATAACAAAATGACTGACTGAAGAATCAGTCATAAACTTGAAATTGTAGCCTTGTTACCTAGTTAATTGTTTTATTAAATGTTAAATTCTACATCGTGGGAACAAAAGTGAATTTTATGAACAAACAAATGTAAAGCTATCTTTTAAATGTATAAATTACAATTTTCATTTTCTCTACAAACTCATAATTAAAGTTATGAGATGAAGAAAGAGCCCTCAGTTTCTAATCCCTAAGAAAAACCTAGACTTTGAAAAAGCTGTAATATTTGTGACCAGCTTGTACAGTCACTTGAATTTTGACAACTAGATCCTTTGATATTACATCCTCTTATCCTCTTCTGATTTTTATGATACATCTGTTTTAGAATGTGGTGAAACACAAAACACTGAAAAAATGTTGCCTTTAATGTATCAAAAAATGTTCTAGTTGTGATATTTTATTCATTACGATTATAATTTGTCATCGGATTCAATTATTCAGAAACAGATGATAGCAGTGTGTT